GCTTCAGGCCTTTGTCGTGCCCTTCCTGTGCTGGGACTCTGCCCCCTCACCCCACTCCCCACTTGCCTGTCTTGCTCCTCCCCAGGCCCTTAGGCTCCTTGAGCCCTTAGTGACACACCAGGTGCTGTCACTTCAAATCGAAACTGGGAGGGCCGCATGGTCCTGCAGGCCCAGGTGTCTGAGCCTCTTCCAGCTCAGCTCCAGCCACCCTGCCCTGGCTCTCTGTGCTGCGTCCAGTCTCGTCTTTCTCCTCCTTTTTGTTGTTTCTGCCTTGGAGCCTGGCCCAGGTCATTCCTCTCTTGGCGCAGCTTCTGGCAAGACTTGGCAGGCAGGACACAGTCAAACAGCTCCTCAGAGACCCTGCTGCACACAGTCCCTGCCCATCACAACACCTTGTTTGGCACCTGCTTATTATGTCAACGTCTGTCTAAAACTGTCATGTTTGCCTCGGTGTTCGTGGTTCATCTCCCACCACTGGCCGTGACCCCCTCCCTGTGGTGCCGGGCTACACGTGTGTTTCATGTGTGAACGAAGGATGACATAGAAGCAGCACATGGGCCCAGATGCTGGAGCTGAGTGAAGAACCAGTGCCGGTTGCTGCTGCTCTACTTTGCAGGTCAAGTCTGGGGCCTGGGATTTAGAAGTTCGCTGGAGTCTTCCCGGGGGCCCCTTCATAGAGCACGTGCCTTTCCTTGGTGGTTTATTGGAGTAACTTTCACACTCAGTGCTGGGGGAGAAACTACGGTCGGACAGCATTGGAGTGGCGGCTCTCCAAGGCTGGCGTTGGCGAGGACCACCCCGGGAGCTTGCACCATGCAGAGCTACTGCCCCACAGATGCTGTCGAGGACCCTTAGGAAGCCCAGAGCTGGCCATGGGGAAAGGTAAGGCCCGACTGACCAGCTTGTCCGGTTTTAGCACAGAAAGTCTTATGTTCCAGGAAATCCTTCTATGCCTGGTAGATCGAGTTGGCTTGTTGCTCTCAACTGAAGCTTTCTGACAGGCAGATGGTGGCTGATGGCTAGGAATGGTTTCATGCTGCAGTTGAGGTTTGAGTGTCTTGGCTTTGGCTTGTGACTGGCCTGGAGCCCTCCCTTGAGCAGTCTGGCTTTCCCAGGCACCCGGCCCGGATGGAAGGAGAGGAAGTTGTAGTGTCCTAAACACCTGCCGTGAGCCGGCTGCAGCTGTGTCCTGGGCTGCCTAATGTATTCTCCGACCATTCTGATTGCTTCCGTTTTGGAGAAGCACAATGAGGCTCAATGAGGTTGTGTGATTGCCCGAACTCAGACGTGTGTGAGGCAGAGGAGGTGAGAGTGACCAGTATTGTTCGGCACAGATCTGGGGAGGGTCCGGTGCTTGGACAGGGCACTAGGTAAGGTGCTTCTTTGGCCAGGTGAGTGAGTGGCTGTTCGTGGCTGCGCAGACATCCTTCTACCGCATGGTGGCGTTGTGGCCCTGCTCAGGAAGCGTTTCCACCCCTGGAACCTGGGCAGGAGCAGCCACTGGCCGGGGTTTCACTCACAGTCTGCAGGGCAACCGGAGCCTCTCTGAAGCTTTAACACTGGCCCGGATCAACTCAGTGTGTGCAAAACACGCTCAACAGCCCTGGAAGAGAGGGCAGGGGTGGACAAAAGGGCAAGTGAAGGCCTAGGCGAGGGGAACGGGAAGGCAGACCGGAGGATCCCAGGGCTCCACAGGAAGGAAAGATGTAATAGGGATTCATCCATGGGCCTGGACTCAACTCAGCCATTTTCAATTCTCAGCAAAAAGCAGTAACGCCTCCTGTAAGCGTTTAATCCTTCACGCCCGCCCAGTACCGCGTGAAGCCTGGCTAGCATCAGCTGCTGAGAGGTGGGGACGTCAGATTATGAAGTGATGCCTCCTGAAATCGCTCAGTCAGCCTTGTAGTTCTGTTTCTCTAGTCTCTGGGCTGAGGGATGTGGCAGGAATTCTTTATTTCTGATATTAAGTGTTCGTTCATTAACTGTATGCATAGAATCAATACAAATATTTGATTTCTATTTAAAAAATGTCCTTTAAGTCTTTTCTTCAATAGGTAGTAAACTGATAGGCTCACGATTCAAAGGGTTCAAGACAAGTGGTCTTTTTCTGTTTAATATGCAAACAAATGATAGCCAACAACTCCTAACAGAAAAGCAGCAAGGACCTTAAAAGAGACTTCACGGAAACAGTGCGGTAAGGCCTTACCATTGGTACTGGTAAAACTTTTTTCTTGAGTCCTGCTTGTTATCAGTGTTGAAGGATATTTTTGATGTACAGGATTTCAGTTTTTTGTGAAGCCACGTGGTTTCTCGCTGTGATCTTGTTTTTGCCCGTAGAGTCGGTGCTCTCACCCTGAGGTCAGTTAGTGTTTTTCTTCAGTAGTTTCTTCACGGTTTCATAATTTCTTCACTTATCCACCTCAGAGATGTTTTTGTTAGTGGCGTGATGAAGAGACGGGACAAGGGGGCTGTGCTTTGGGAGGACAGTTGGCCTGGGACTGTGGTCCTGGCTCCACACTATTTGGAGTCTTGGCCTGCAGCAGTTATCCAAGATAGGACAAGCGGACTGAGAGGGGTCAGCTTGCGGGGGCAGCTCTTTCTGGGGGTGGGGGTGTGGAACTGAGTTGTCCAATGGGCCCAGGGCAGCAGTGGGGCACACTTAGCTCACAGTCTGGAATCCTGGTCTGAGGGCCCAGGGAGCAGGATTCCCAGGGTGAGAGGCCAGGACATATGTGGAACACTTGGTGCTTCTAGGGGACAGCCTGCGATTCTGTGAGATTTGCCCACCAGGCAGCCAGAATCCAGGTCCTGGAGACCGGGAAGCCAGCGAGGTTGGGAGACTGAGAACGCCAAGCAGGGACCGCGGTGGCCCAGGGCCGTGCCCAGTGGGCTGTGGAAGACTTCGAGGATCAGAACGGCCGTTGCCCAAGGCATTCCTGGCCACCCATCTGCCCTTAGTCACATTTCAAACAATGGTGTCAGAGCAGCTGAACTGTCCTGTTTGTGTCTGTGAGCATGCAGGGAGTGGAGCTGCTGTGTTCATGTCAGACCATGGCACCTTCAGGAAAAGTGCTGCCGCCTGGAGCCTGGGCCCTGCAGAGGAGGTTCATGTCCCTCCTGCCACCCCTCTCTCCACTTCTCTGGGTGCTGGAGGCATATGTGGGTTCACAGGGGGCCCCTAGGCTGTGCACCGAGCAGGGGACCCACCTTGCCTTTGTGTCACCTACGTCCTGTGGCCTCAGATGACGGACTGCGCTTTCCTCATCCACACACTGGGGCGATGCCTTTCCGACCTGGGCCCCAGGAAAGATGAAGAGAACAAGAGGGGCTGTTTTGCCGCGTACCAGGGGCTGCCTGGGAGTAACCATCGCCGTTCTCCAACACAGCCATGGTGCGGGTTTCAAGGAGCGTAGCCCTCAAAGAGATCTGAATTTGCCATGAAGGGGATGGGGACTCCACACGTGCACAGTGCCACCAGGTTCAGCGAAGGAATAGGCACTCCCTGTGTCCTGTCCTTGTGAGTCTGTCCAGCACACACAAGGAGGGTAAAGAGTCTCTAAGCAAGCTCTACTTTGCTGCCTTGGGTCCCTGTTACAGCTTTAAAAAATGTAGACAATGTCGATGAGAACTAACCACTGATTGTCAAATAAAATTACAAAATTGCCCAAAAATGGGATGTTGCTCTGCTCCAACCTGCAGGTGATCACATGAGGACAAAGGAAAGTGAACTGCTCAGGGGCGACAAACCCTCCAGTCCTCCCTGGCAGAGTGCAACCTGGTTTCCACCTGGCTCTTTCTCCCGGTGGCGCCAGCAGGTGGCAGCATTGCACTCTGTACGTCTCGGCTCCACCCAACCCCTCCTCCCAGCCCGGCAAAGTGTAGGGCCAGGACCTGGTTCGCACAGTAGCATGCCTCATTCCCACCTCCCTAGTCGGGGAGGGTCAGGGGAAGGAAGGAGGGATCCAGAATGCCCGTCCCTACAAGGGTTTGGAAAGAGAATGAGAAAGAGAGATCAGTCGGGAGGGAGGGAAGCCACTAGGACTGAAGTGGACCGTGGGGTCCCAGCCCTCCAGGAGGAGGCTGTTTGAGATCCAGGAGGCCAGAGCTTGTCCTGTTGTTGGGGAGGCCGCTGGCATTCCAGCGAGGCAGTGGTGGGTCTTACGTTTTTGTGTGTGTGCATGGGTTGAAAATTTCGTACTATAATTCATGGTTATGGCGGTGGCGTGGGGGTGTCCTTTATTTATTAATTTATAATCTGGCCTCTCTCCCAACCTCTACATCATGATTAGTGAGAAAGACAGTGAAATGTTCTCTTTGATTTAAGTGTCATGGGACCAGAGGGCTGTCTTGTTATGCAATCTTAATTTCTTTTGCCTCAAAGGGCTCAGGTTTCAGATTACCTTTCCCAGCTGCCCTCACTGAGATGGTGTGGGGTGTGTGTGACATCCGCCCGCCTGCCCGCCTGCCCCGGCCTGGGCGGAAGGGTTGGGATCCTGGGTGTGGTGTCTGCTGATTTCCTGGAAGGGTTCCGTACCCCTTTCTCACTCCCAAAATGATTTCACCGGAAGCAGAGTGTGTGTGGACCGTGGTCCAGTCCCTCGTGGTCCTACTCAAGCCCCACCGAGCCCGGATCTGATCTCTCTCCCCTACGTGGTCCCCTTGTTGTGCAGCTGGGCCTCCGGCAGGCCTGGTGGCCTGCAGCTCACACCAGGCCTGCTGGAACCCAAGCTCCCCTGCCACACTCTGCAGCCCTGGGTTAGAGCAGCCTGGGTGATCTTCTCAGCAGAGCTCCAAGGGGCACGAGAGACAAGGGTCCCTCTCCAGGGCAGGGTGAGCAGGCCAGATGCAGCCACTTGGGTCCTGTTGTTTGCTTTCCTCCTGGTCCGCTTCCCACCTTCCCCCAGGCTCTCTGTTGCTCTTCTGGCCTGACCTCCATTACATAAAGCTTCACAGTCACATCCAAAAAAATACTCTCAAGAGAACAGCCTGGTTTAGCAGACTTTTGACAAAGTTAATTTTTATTAATGAGTAAAACGTGCCGGTGAGTGGCGCACGATGGGGTCAGTTGGTCAGCACCTCCGCTAGTTCATCATTCTCCGTGTCACTCTCCTCAAATCCGGCCGATTCTCCAGGCCCTGCCTCTTCGCTGGACTTCCTCAAAGCCTCTACACCTTCTGTCCAGGCTTTTCTGCGCCGGTAACTCCGCAGGACGCACAGGGCGACGATGACAGCCATCAGTACCACCACCAGGGCTGCCAATGCCAGGATGATGTATTGGTACGTAGAACTGTATTCCGCAAGATGCTCTCGGAACGTCCGAGGCGTCGGCTGTCCCTTCTTGCCGTGAGCTCCAGCGGGGCCCGCAAACGGCTGCTCCGGCTCCCACTGGGCCTGGGACACGTTGGCCTCCTGCTGTTTGCTGAGAAGCATCAGCAGGAGGTGTGTCTTGGAGAGGAGCTTGCTGCAGGCGGGGTGCGCGGGGAACTCCGTGCAGTCCGTTTTCAAAATGCTGATGACCTGGGCGACGAGCCTCCGCAGGTCAGCGTCCGGGATGAGCGGCTGCAGCCTCTGGTTCAGCTGAGCCTCTAACCCGTCCCTCGGGGACGGTGGCAGCGCAGGGGAGGCGACATCTTCGGGTGGCGAGGCCGAGGCAGAGCTTGCAGCGGACACACGCAGGTCTCCCGGCGCTGACAGGAAGCCTAGTGAAGGGGAGTCCAGGAGGCTCCTCAGGGCCGAGAACCCAGGCCTCCTCGCCGGGCTCTGGCCGCTGCGTGCATTTCCCTCGGGGATCTCTGCCCTCGGGTTGTCCTGGGCTGTTCCGCGGGCCACAGGGGAGACAGTTTGAGCCCAGGGGCGACTCTCTTGTGAATGCCAGGCCTGCCCTGTGAGCGCTCTGTCCCGCGCGAGGTTGAGAAGCCATGTGCTGCGGGTGAAGTCTGTCCCCCTGCTTCTCCCCACGGGCTGGGCTCTGGCGGGGGTGGAGGTGGGGGAGCTGCCCAGCCAGAGGCCCCGCAGGGAGGAAGGGGCAGCTGCCCTCTGTCCCTCTGGGAAGACGGAGTTTCCGGCCAGGTTCCCGGGCCCGGGCGATCCCGAGACGCTGCTCCAGCTCCGTGGCGCCGGGGACCCCGAGGCTTCTCCTCTGAGGGGCCGGGTGACCTGCGTCTCCCTGACCGGCTGCTCCTGCCTGCCCTTGAGCAGACTTTTACCTGTGCCCTTCAGGCCCCTCAGGACCTCGTCCACTGTGCCCAGCCTTCTCCTTCCTGTCAGCAGCTGAGCCACGCTGTCCTCCTGCGTCGGAGCCCTTGCCAGTGCTCTGCTCAAGGTCTGTGATTCCACTTCGGGACCCGAGAGGCGGGGCTGTATAACGCTAACAGGGTTCTCTTCCTTCTTAACCTCCTCGATTTTTCTCCGTATTTCTGTGTCTAACCAATTTCTGAGGAAATACAGCTTTTTCAGTCTATTTTTGTAACTGCTGGACTCAGGGATCAAGAAGGACTTCCTTTCCTGGTCATCATCTCCATGTTGAGGTGGAAAAAGCAGTTGAATGAACAGCAGCAGAGCCGACTGCATGTCTTCCGGGTTTCCCTTGGAGAGATAGGGCACTATGGAACCGAGGGCACTGATCACGTCACTTTCGTCATGAAAGTCGAGCTGCTCATTCACGAAGCCCGACCAGGGCGCCACACTTTGCTGGGGAGACGACGCCTCGGGCTCGATGGTCAGCTGGGTGCTGGTGCTCTCCTTCCGGGCCTGCAGCGCCTTCATCAGCGCCCCTTCCACGTTCCCCATGGCTGCTGCCTCCGGGCACTGTGTGGTGTTGGACAGGCAGGTGCCGTCACAGTGCAGCTTCACCGTCTGGCACACAACCTCGATGTCACTTTTAATTTGGCAGAGGCAGCAGGCCATGTGGCTCGGCAAGATCAGTTTTTCCAACTCCAGAGTCACAGCGAGGATGTTCTCCAGCACTACAAGGGGCACGTGTGTTGCTCCCAAGTCTAGGTGTTTTAACGCCGGTAACTTAAAAAGAGATGGATCCTCGATAGTTGTCAGCGGGTTATGGTTGAGGATTACTTGGTGTAAAAACTGCATCCCGTGCCATGCCTGAAATGTTCCGAAGCTCAGTTCTGTGAGTAAATTGCAACGAAGATTTATGAACTGCAAAAAGGGTAGTGATTCAAATGTCCCTCTGTCAATTGACTGTATTTTATTGCAGGATAAATCTAAGTACTGCAGGGACCACAGGCCTGCAAAGGAGTCTTTTCGTAATTCAGTCAGGGAGTTTTCACTGAGATTTAGTCTCTCAGCCCACTGGTATGTTGTCCACACGTTCTTCTCGAGGGAAGAGATAGAATTTCCTTGGAAGTTTAGGACGGTGAAGGTGGTGTCGTAGGGGCTGGACTCCAGGGCAGGCACTCCGTGCAGCCTCTGCGTGGGGCTGAGGCCAGTGCAAGACAGGGTCTCCTCCCGGCAGGAACACAGCTGGCACACTTCCCTGTGTGTTCTGGGGCTCTGTGCACTCTGCACAGTGAAATCTTTCACCACTGAAGGTTGAGTGGCGACGTCAGTGGGCTTTGGATGCTGGGCCTGCACCTGGTCTGGGTGTGGCAGCGCCACCCCAGGGATCACTGGGGTAGGAGGAGAGGACTCTGACAGGGCTGCTGAGGGTCCAGCCTCCATAGAGGACACAGCTCTGATCTCACGAGGGAGCTCTGCAGGCCGAGGTCCAGCCTCCTTGGGTCCAGCCTCCTGAAACTCAGGTAACTTTGCCAGCTGCCCACGTCGACGTACAAGGAGCATTTCCCATGCCTGTTGGTGAGTAGCCCGATGGGGCCCTGCAGTCTGGATCTTCCTTTTCAGGCCAGGGGGCAGAGCTAGAAATGGCTTCTGACCCCCACCCAGCAACAGACTCACCTCTGGGAGCCCCTCTTGCCAAGGCAGCGTGGCACGCAGTCCTTCACGTGGAGCGGCACCCTTCTCCCGCTCCGAGGACAGCCGTCCACCGATCCTCCGAGGTGGAGACAACCTCTTGGTGGGCACCGAGGAATCAAGGAAGTCAAAGCCTCCAGGCTCTTCTGGGGGAGTGAGGGCAGGGAGCGACTTGAGTGGGGGATCAGAAGGGAAGGATGAGGGCTCACTTGGTGCTACGCGCTCCGAGTTCATCCTAACTGGGAACGGGGCCCAGTCTGGCGGTGGGACCGCCAGGATGGGCAGCCACACCTGGGGCCACGCCAGCAACAGTGCAGCCCAGAAACAAACCAAAGACATTACGATGAAGGTTCAGTCGCACAGATCTAGTGCAGCAGGGTGCTAGACACTAGCTCTGCCAAAACCTTTCTGGCAGCCACCTGCCAGTGCTCTGGTAACAGTGCCCGGCCACACTGGGCCACACCCCACACTGTTTATGACATCATAGTTGAGGAAACCTTTATCAGGGCTGCCCATCCAGACCAGGCCTGACTCCCGTCCTTTGAAAGGTGACAGTGGCCTTTCCCAGGGCCTCTTCCCACCACAGACATGTCAGTGTGTAGCTTTGGGCCTGCAGCACAGCCTTGGGGTGGGGAGGGGCAGAGCTTCCCACAGAAGTCAGGGCTGGGCCTAGTGACGCTCAGCTCCACTCTGTGCTCTAGCCAAGTATTATAGCTCAGTGTCACAGCCAAGTGCCACAGCTTGGAAGGAACAGCTGATCTTTCCAGCTCTGTGTGGCAGCTCTGGAACCCAGCTCTGAGGCCCCTGCAGTGATGTGGAGGGCGGACAGGGCCCTCCTGAGTCTGGGCATCCCAGAAGGCAACTTCTAGGCCAAACGCTGCAGGGACCACCGGCTTTCTCAAACTGACCTTGAAGAGACTGGAGAAGACAGAGGAGAAGTAAAGAAGGGATTGGCCAGTTCTGTTTGTTTGTTTTTTTGATACCAGAGATCAAACTCAGGACTTGCGAGGCAGGAGGCAGACAGTGGAACCACTGAACCAAATCCCTGGCCCTAGAGTGGCCAGTTCTGAAGAAGAATTTAGGAGATACAAAGCTCCCAGCACTCTTGTTCCTGCAAAAGGGCTCTCAGTGGAACAGAAGTCCTCAGGGCAGAGGAAGATCCAAGGGCTGCCAGTAAACTGTAGGTTTGGGTGAAGATGGAGCCAAGGGTGTGGCTAGAAATCCTTTGTTAATGCCTTGAAATAGTTGAGGGCCCACCTTGTGTAATGTCTGGGCAGACACACGGCTTCTGGGAATCCCAGGCTGTACCTCTTAGATCCTCCCGGCAGGACCACAGGGCATCTAAGAATCCCAGCCCTCTGCTTGTGGCCGTGAGGACAGAAAGGCCTTATGGGAAAGAAAAGGAGTTGTGATCTTTGTCTGATGGAGTAGGCTACAATTTGGTGTATAGGAAACCCACAGAGCTTTTGAAAGCAGCTCTTCCACATGGAATCTCCAGAAGCAGGGTCTCCCCTCTCTCCATTCACTTCCCACCCTTCAGCCAGAAGTTTCCTCACACACACTCCCAAGACTTCTTAGAGTCTGCCGGAAACTAACCCTGAGAGGACAGAAGGAGGGCTAAGGCATGGCTTTGAGGCTGCTGTTCAGGGAGGCGGCCTCCGCCTCTCACAGTGGGATCTGCAGACCAGTGTGGGCTGCACTTGGCCGGGATGCCCCTGACCACCTGGGCCTCTTTGGAGGGGCTCAGCCCCCAGCTCGGGCCCAAGCCATGCTTCGCCCCCTCCTCTGCCCCTTGCTCTCTCCTCTTCCCTCTTCTGTTCCTTTCTGTCTCCTTCTCCTCCCATGCTCTCTTTCTCCCTGACCCAAATGAAGTGGGTTAAACAAAACTTGGTGCATCAGACTCTGCATGCTGAAAGTCTAGTTATGCTGTTAAGGATGTTGGCATGAAACTCCCTGTGAGCTAGTGTGGAGGGAGATAGCAGCTCAGGAGACATCACTGGCGGTGGGCGCTTAACTTTCTTTTCTTTTTTGCTGTATTGGTATTAAATCCAGGGCCTTTGCACTGAGCTGCATCTCTAGCCCTTTTTTTTATTTTGAGACAGGGTCTTGCTAAGTTACTAAACTTCCCAGGCTGGGTTTCAACCTGTGATCCTCCTGCCTCAGCCTCTAAAAGTGCTGAGATTATAGGTATGTGACACCATTCCCTCCTGGGAGCTTGGTTTTCTAGCAATTCCAGCCACTGCTTCCTGCAAAACACAATGCAGATCCACAACACAGAATCACATAGCTAACACCACAGCGTCTACTCCCTTCAACTGTGCCCTTTGGGGTCTAGGCCCAGGTCCCTGAATGGAGACCCAAGGAGTGGCAGACCCAACCAGAGCCAGGACTACATTTCAAAAGCTGCCCTGTCGCTCTTTTCCCTCGGCCACCTGGTCTTTGTCACTGCCCCCACCCAATATCTGGAGGGCCTGGCCATGGAGAAACGCAGGCAGAACTATTGGCTCGAATCAGGGCAGCAGGCCGCTGCCATCAACCACCTCTCACTGAGAAGCCAGAATCTTTTCCATCTGTGTTGAAGCTGCAGTCTATGAAATAATGTCTATAAAAGTAAGATTGGAAGTTAAAATATCAAGTGCAATAAATTATCGCTGCACTGTGTTTTCTCCTGAGGGATGTGCTGGCCAAACAGCCTCCAATTTTCCCATCTAGGACCGTGTTTTGTTTTTCCCCCAAAAGCACTCCACTGGTAATGGGAAGAAAGGGCCTGGATGGTGGAGGTTTATTCAATAGAGCTATGGTGCTTGGCGGGCTGTACCTGCCTGGCATCTTAATTTCTCTTCCAAAGCAGAATTGTTCAGCTGCAAAATGAAAGCTAAAAGGGAGGTTGCCCAGGGGAGTCACTGCCAATTTCCATCACTACAGCCGTCTCTGTCTCCTCCTGCTCTGCCATATCACAGAGATCAAGACCCTGCATCTGGACACCACCCCCCGTTCACCTCACGGATAATTTGCCTGTGTCAGATAAGTGTCAGGAGGAAGGGGAATTTAAAAGAGTGATATGGCTCAGATCAAAGAGCTTAAATTCTCTGGGGAGATACATGTAGCTATAAAAGTACTTAGAACCAAATGGAAAGTTATCAAGAAGAAAAGAACGGAGGAGCTCTCTCAGAGGCAGAAAACGGGTGAGGAGCACACCTATAATCCCAGCACTCAGGCTGAGGCAGGAAGATCTTGAGTTTGAGGTGAGCCTGGGCTATGTAGCAAGACCCTGTTGCACACGAAACAAAGCAAAACAAACAACAAAAATCAGAAAGAGAGAGAGAGGGTTCTAGAAAGAAGTGAATTTTGATCTGGACCTGTGGAAAGAAAAGAGGAAAAGACCTCTTTGGAAGAGACACGGACAAAAGGAGAGGTTAAAATTGTAACACAAAGCTGAAAGGGCTGTACCCCAAGGATCGCGGTGGGCAGAGAGGACATCAAGTTGAGGGAAGGCTTGGACTACCGCAAGGAGTAGGAAGGATAAAAGAAAACCACTGGGTCTGAGGCCTGTGGCTTCTTCCATGGTGGGAAGCGAAGGAGCACAGAAGTCACTGGGCTGTGGGGGCAGGGGGCAGTGGGTGTCAGAGACAGTCATTCTGGTGGGTGATTTGGGGGTCTGTGAACCTTCCTTCCTCTCCGTGCTCTTCCCTAAAAAGACCCCAAATCCCCCTTGCTTTCCATTGGCTAATTAAAAAGTTCAACGAAAATTTTGAGTGCCAGCCACTTGCTTTAAGTTCTACTTCTTCATACGCTGTCCCCTTGCCTTAAGCACGTGTGTGTGTGTGTGTGGTGTGTGTGTGTGTGGACACAGGACCCCCTACTGCCACTGTCACTTTACCTCAGTGCAAGCAAGGGCACAAGAGCCTTCCCGGAGGGTGGCTTTTGCTTGGGGAAGGTGTGAGTATGTGGACAGCAGGCCTGTAGGCCTGGTGCCTAAGGAGACCCATTGTCACTGCCTGTGGCCGCGCTGCCCTTCTCTGTGGCCAGCAGTGCTGGGTCGGGAGAGACACCCAGGGCTCAAGACAGGGGAGTTCTTGAGTGTCAGCAGAAGGAAGGCCAGCCTTCCCGTGTCTTGGGGCAAGGCTGGTGCCACCTTTTGTGGCCTCTGTGCGGGTGCTGAGGGGGAGCTGGCCTCACCTCACTTCCCCAGTGATTCCGATGGGAACTGCTGGCGTTGCACTGAAGAGGAATTTCCCAGCTCTTTTCAAATCCCTCACTTGGCTGGGGTTACCAGGCCGGCCCCAGTGCTCAGACATACCCCATTCTCTCTTTCTGGGCCTGACCGGGGAAATGTGGAGCACTCTGTAGAGGGAGCAGAATGGCCCAGTTGTCCCTTTGGGGTTGAGCACTGACCCTCTTTCTCTGGCAGCCGTTTTGGAGGTAGAACTTGGATCTCTCTCCCCATCCCGCAGAGACGAAGTGCCAGTCCAAGGAGCTGGGAGCTATGGGAAAAAAGGGGCTTGTGACCCTTCCTGCCTCTCCGCCTGGTCCTTAATTCTCCGAGGACAGGCAGAAAGGGCTCTTCCGAGCCTGCTGGCAGCCGGGCTCGTTTGTGGTAGGCAGTGTTTATGTGAACGCACAAATGTTTATGTGAGGTTGCCAGCCCGTTATTTATGAGTCTCTCGGCCTTCCCCCAATAAAAGCTGTTCCCTCAATGTTCTGACAGGCCTTGCATCTGCAACCAATGTGTCACTCGCTCAGCTAATGCAGTCCACTTGTGTTTATTTTTGCACAAAAGCAATTTATCCAGCCACTCCGAAGAAAGAAAGAAAGAAAAAGGTCCTGTCAGGCGTCTTCTTGGGAGTGGCGTGTTTTTCCTCAAAAGAAGCTCCAAGTGGCTGCTGGGGCAGGGTAGGCCTTGGAGCTGATCACCTGGGGTCCAGGGTGTAGAGGCGTGGGCAGGGGGTTGAGTAGATGTGTGTTTGTCCGTCTGTCTGTGATGGTGGGGTCTGAGAATTTGCTTCTGAAGCTAAGAGTTCTCCCCAGGGGTACTGGGTGATTTAAAAAAGATGTTGGGGGTGGGACTGGTGCTAACTCTGCCTTCTCTCTGGCTGCCATAAATCAAAGTTGGGAAAGTGGGTTGTTGGCAGTTAAAGGGCTGGGGGAGGAAGCTCAGGGGAGGAGGAAGGTGATGGTGGAGGTTCAAAGGGAGGATGCTTGGCTTTGTGGTAGGAGCATTAGCTGAGGTGTGCCAAGGCCCATAACGGGTGACCTTTGGAGGCAGAGTGCCTGGGCTGCTCCTGTCTGCCTGGGTAACTGGCCATTTCTGCTCTGTTTTTCTTCAGAATTGGCAGTCA